GAGTCCTACTTCGTAGACTTGTAGGGTTCCCGTAGAACTCCAGTAGGATTCCCCTTGCTATTAGGGACCGATCACATGACAATCGCACCGCCGAGGTCCACCGTGTGCACTTCTGCAAGGTGGCACTAGAGCGGCGACTTGCGCATAGGCAGCCAGTCGCAAGATGTGGTGGGAGTGCTTACTGACGAAGCCAGCACTCCGCGTCAAAGGATTGCTATCTACACCTACCAGGTCTTGGGCGACCGGTTCGTACTTCAAATCCAAGTGGAAAGAGTGCTAAAAGCGCACTGAGCAGACCTACAACAATAATAAGGCTTAATTAAATGCTGCCGGGGAAAACCCACCCACCCCTCCCCTATTCCCCTCTAATGAAGGGGCCACCTCATGAATGCGAGCTAAGATTAGTGAACATTTTTTACGATTTTAAGATACTAAGTAGGCAGGAGTGCAATAGCAAATTTCGAGCAGGGCAATCTCGGAGATATTTCTGTCAAGCCACGATGTCGGCTTCCGAACGAGCTCCTTTATGGCCACCTACAAAAACTACTCGTGGAAAAGTGACCTCTTAATAAGCGCTAATTCTTTTCATTGCGTTGTTATACTATGACATGCCAAAAATATAATATATTACACCCATTTAGCAGTGAATAGCATCTTTCTAATGTTTCCGTACCAAAGGTCTCTAGTTATGGGCTTTAAGCATAATAATATTGAAGACTATATGACACCCTCCCAAAAGACTACAGAAATGTTAAGTTTTCCTCAGACGGAATGTATACATTTTGCACCCCTGATTAAAACTGTAGTGGTGCATACAATTATAACTAATTCGTGAATTCTACGCTTGTTCGACCGTTAGATATACATTTAAGCAATCACAGCCCCCGTCGCAGGTTCAAACACCCCACCAACGTCTTTCAGACCTTCAATTAATTAACTGTACCTGACACTATATCTGCTGGATTCTAAATCGACTGTCCAGAAAACCCCATTTGATAGTCAACGTACTGTGTACCTGTTTTAGCGGAATGCTTACGTAACAGAAGGCTGGAAGAGTAAGC